GACACACTATTCCTCTGCTACGTTGGTTCCAACTTTTTTTTTCCCAGCTCTCTTCATTCAAAGTTATCCATGACTATTTACCAAAATATTCCTAATTTTCCCAATGAGTTGACCTGGCTGTGCTTTGTAATATTTGTTTGGACCAGTGTGGAGATTTGAACCAAAGAACAGGACAAACTAGTGGCATTTAAACTCAAGAATGCTCCAGTCTGTGCAATTGTAATTGAATGTAAGTTCTTTATAAAACAAAGCATGTGGTTTACATTGTGTAACTAATATAAATCACAGATTAAGAAAGAAAATAAGTAAAAGCAAAAATGACGCTTTTGCTCACAAATCTTTTTTTCTAACCAAAAATATTATAAATCTTTAAGTTGTTGTTTACACCAAAATGTTTGACTGTATAGTGACTACAGAGAATGTAGTTCACAAAAATAATGATATCAGTCCATCACCACGGTGCTTAAACAAAAACCTGGGAGATCTGGCTCAAGTCACCCTGAACAGGAAGCCATCCTGTTCAATGACTGTGTCTGCTGGGGATGCCACTGATTTTGGGGTAAGACAATCCCAATCTTCTTACATCCAATTGAGAATTGGAATATGCCTTTGCCATTTAGGAACTTAAATGACCTCACAAGTTACCAGTGAAAGGCACATTCCTCCTAGATTTGACTAGTTCTACATGATAGCTTATTTTCTTCTCTGATCATAAAACTTCAAGTTCCTAAGGCACATAATAAACTATATACATAATACTCTTCTCAGCAGAATTATCCACTTACCAATAAGAACTTTAGATTCCAGCTGCTAATGAATATTGTATTACCTAAAACAACACAGAATCATTAATCCTCTAAGGTTCCCAAGTTTAAACTATATATACAATAACTGCTTTCCATTTCCTGAGTAATATAATGCAACAAACAAATAGGTCTCAAAATTCTTCATGAAATAACCACAAAGGATGAAGAGAATGGCCCTTCATTTCATGCATTTGGCTAGTCCCAAGGTCAGGTGTCTTTAAACAAGCAAGTTTTATTTTCTTTTAGATCCTATCCAAATCATAGTGTCATTTAAATTTGTGAAACAAATTTTCATTGTTTCCTTTTTAAGAAATACATATATAACCTACTATTTAAGATATGTGAATTTAGGGCAGCACCAAGAAGTCTTTCTCCATGTTCTACTAATGTTAAAACCTTGTTGTTTTCTGTCCATTCTATAGTAGTGATGATAAAATAACAAAAACCTGAATGTGGAAAATGTATTTAAAATTCTGGTTACGGAGTTTTGAGCATATTGGCTATGGAGGGATGTTTATAAAATACAAGCAAATATGTCAAACTTGAGGCAAAATTTCAAGAGTCAGGAGTATTCAGGTAGAGAAAGAGAATGCTTAGGACCCCACCCACATAGTGGCATCACCCTTGGCTGACTTCCACTCATCCTGCTCTGTTTCCTCTGTAAAATATACTGACCATTGCTCACAACGCATTCAATGTTCCCAGCTAGTTAATGGCTCTCAACTGTGCACATCTGTTCCCACTAGAGGGAAGTCCCAGGAGAGAATCCCAAACAAGTTTATGCCAGTTGTACTTATTATTGTAATTATGTAATTTAATTAAATATTATGTAAACTGATGAAATATGAGAGCAAAAAGGAAGAGAGTTGCTTTGGGAACACTTTCTTTGGAGAGAAGATAAATTTGGTTATATCTAAAATTACTAGAGTTTTCTCTCTGGGTGGTGATTGGTCTCATCGATCTTACAAAGTCTTTTCCAAATCTATCATATATAATATTGCTTGTGTTTTTAAATTTTGTTATCTTTAGATTGATTCCTTCATTCTATTTCATGTTACAGTAGCTGCCAGTTATCATTTCCTGAGCACATACTATGTACCAGGCACTGGGTGAAGTGATTTGCTTGCATCTTCACATTTGATGTGTAAAATAATAATTATTAATTCTGAAAGAACTGCATTATGTCCATGGCTATATGCTCAGCATATTGCATATATTCCCCAGTTAATTCTCATGATATACCTCTTTTTAGATATGGAAACTGAAGATCAGAAGGAATGAGAACTTCATGTATACCCACAGCAATAAGTAAAAGATCTGGGATTAGGACCCAGTTCTATTTTGTTCTGAAGTCTTATCTCTGATTACTACACATACAGGTTCCTTGTGGACCTGTCATATTTACTGTCAAGATCTTAGTATGTAGTTCAGTGCTGGTCTCACCATAGGTACTCTTTGTGTTACATGAATAAGTGAATGCAGAGATAGATGAATACTACCTCAATTTTCTTAATAAGACTTAAGGTCGATTTGCTAGAAAATGGGAGAGAGGCAAATTTTCCTAATTCTAGACACTTTACAGTGTACCTACCATATGTGAATTAGCCTTCCTTTATTTCTATTGATTGAACTATTACTGTCATTAAGATCATATAAGAATAGTTTGTTAGGAAAAAAAAAGATTATAGTTGTGATTTACAATTGAGGACTAGTGTTATAGTTTTGTCTTCTCGTTATTATTCCTTTCAGTAAGATCATGTTTGGAGGAAACTGCATCTTCCCCATTCTGGTCTCTTTGTTTGAATGAAGTTAGCCCAGGGCTGGTCCTGTGTCCCAAGCTCCACTAATGAGAGTCATGCATTCCTCTGCCATAGAGAACCGATCAGGAACAAACAGGGAGTAAACAAGCAGTCCATGCCAGGCCATGGGGATGATTCCTGGGAGTTTTCTGTTCCCACAGCAAAGGAGAACCTTACATGCCTCCAAGGATGCTAAGCTGATAGGATACAATCCTGGCTCTGCCATTTTGCTGCCAGGAGGAAATATTTTTAAATCAAAACAAAGTTAACCCCAAGGTGAGCAGAGGCTAGAGATGGAAAGAGGCAAATTCCTGGCAATATTCTTTGGCAATTGGATCTAGTCATGCCCAAAGTCACATCTCATCATGGAATGTTCAGTTATAACAACTAGTAGATTCTCTTTTTTGCCCAAACAATTGTGAGTTAAGCTTTATTCTTTTTTTTAATTTTTTTTTATTGGTTGTTCAAAACATTACAAAGTTCTTGACATATCATATTTCATACATTAGATTCAAGTGGGTTATGAACTCCCATTTTTAACCCAAATACAGATTGCAGAATCACATCGGTTATCCTTTTGCACAAAATGTTACCATAGAACTCTAAGATATGTTTGAACATACTACATAATGTGGATCAGGTGAATTGATCCAGAACTGTGGCTAGTAAATATTCAGGAGAAAAAAAAGAAATTTCATCCAAAGCAAAGCAAAATAAAATTGTACATGAAGCTAAATCTAATATCTGCCTCTAAAATCTTAGTCCTAGCTGGTATTGAGTTTGGTGCTTAGCAATAATACTACTTTGTTATTTGATTTAAAGAAGATTCACTAATCTGCTAAATAAAAGGGTTTGATTAAGAGAGAGGATACATACTATTTCAGAATCTGTATTTCTTAGGAATCTTCAGATAAAGTCAGGATATTCAGGAGGAATACCCCCCATGATGTTTTAAAATGAATTTTTTAATTCAAGACTTCTTCAAGGAATATTTTCTTCCTACTCACTTGCAAAACACATGCTCATGTATACACATCCACATAGAAAAAGGAATCCATTCAGGTACAATCTAACTTGCAATCAAGAACTGCTAAAATAGGACCTTTATCATCAACACAGCACATCCCAAAATGTCTTTGTAAAGTAAATCAAATTATATGAGTTAATTGATTCCAGGCAACATCAGCAACTGCAGGTGGAGACTGCATAACAGGATGTTTATTAATGAAGTACTATTAATCAAAATCGACAATACCAATTCCTGTTTGTTGTATCTGAAAGCTACCTGCAGTGATTATAGATATATTTGTTGAATTTTTAAACAGTTTTGAAAAGGGGGAAAAAAGAGGACATAGTAACACATGGGATTTTTTAGCTGTGGATCTTGGATCACTGATATTTAAACACTGAAAAGATACTTCTAAATACAATTTGACAAGCAATGCCAAAGATGCCAGTGGTAATTAATTAGCACTTAATTGAGACCACAGAACAACAGGACATATGAATCGGTACTCAGTGCCATTTCCCCTTAGGCTCCCTCTCACGAGGGTCAGGAGGGTGGCTGCAAGCTGAAGGTCAGTAAGTAAATCGAGAGAACACATTGACACTGGACATTTCATGATGGATCTCCTTCACCCTTTGCTGCCGCCCCTGGCTATCTCTAGCTAGGAAAGGACTATGATGGTCTGAAGGGGAATTTATTGTTCATGCACATCAAAACTGAGGTGGGCACTACCCTCACATCCTCCACTAGTTAGGCTGGACACTTCTGGAAAAGATCAAGCTCAAATGTTAACATATGAATGAAGGTAGGCCAACATAAAAGCAAATTAAATTTAGAGTAAAGAATTACTTGAATTTGCTGGATTTGCAAGATTATATTTAAATTTTTATAAAAATAAATCTAGATAAAATATATTCCTGAAAATAAATTTTTTGTAGAAACATTTTTTTTGTAAAAAATTAGATAAAACATTTCTCTAAAAATTAATTTTTTTTCATGAAAAGCATATCATAGATATTATGATAGTTTGTATTTAAATATCATCAAGACTCCTAGAAATTCAATTTTAGGTATTGTTCATACTCTCTCCAGCCCCCTCCAAGACACACACATACACTTTCTGTCTTAATGGGTAGGGGCAACCGCCTTAACAGAGGGAAAAACTCTATAGCTTTATAATTCCATAGACTGAGCAAATAAAAAAAATGGAAATGAATTTTCTAATCTATGAATAAACTTAGACAGCCTCTGACTAAAAATTTATGGTAGCTTGGCTTATAAGCCAATATACATGAATTGGGGAATAGGCTTGCTGAAATTACCACCACAATTAAAAAAAAAAAATGAAGTGAGGACACTTTCTATTTTTTTTTTTTTTTTTTTAGCTGAGATTTGAAATCCTTAACTGAATGCAAAGTTCACTGATGTAACTGGTACTAGAAGTCTGGGTTCTTCAGTACCAAACCTTCAGTCCACACAGATTATATGACTTCTGAACGACCTTCACTCTCCAAAATGTATACAACTGGAAAAAGACTTTTCGGGGATCTGTTTTATTTGGTCACACACATGCCTATAGTTAAAACAAATAAGATACCTCTCCTTTTCAGTGTTCTTAAAAAGTGCTTGACTGATTCTTCTGAGGTCCTTGAGAACTTGCCTTAGACAATGATGCTCACTGCCAGAGCAGAGAGCAATGAGGGTTTGATCAGAAGCACTCTCTTTTCCTAATTCACTTCTTGTTCATGACTTATTCTTTGAACTAAGTCTGTTCCCTTGAACCAAGAATCTCCTCAACATCACTGCTCCTTTGCCACATCCCGGTGGATATATTCATGTGACATGACTGGAGGAGCACAGTGGCTCCCAGCCTTCCTCTCCTTGGGAAACAGTTGAGCTCGGCTATGGCAACAGGAAGAGGTGCCATCTGGTGAGATCAGAGTCCAAAAAAGAAAAAGAAAAAGGCAAGTAAGCAAGCAAAAAAGGTAGGGAGGGGAGCCCTCTCTTTCCTTAATATTATTTTACTAAGAAACTTCATGAAAACCATATCTTTCAGTCTTATGCAGCCCTCATCTCTGTTTTAAAATATCAGCTTGCAAATCTTAGGATATTTCAGGATAAAATCATTTTTAAACTAGCAGGTATTTGCACCATTTAGTGAGGTTTATCCCCACTTTTTATTCTATGACAATCTCACATTTCTTATAATGGCTTTTACATTCTTCGTATTTAATACTGACAACCTATATCATTTAAATTCCTCCTGAAATGCCATACACACATTTTAGACTTTCCCTAAAACACAACTTCACAACTTCACATAGTCCTATGTGAAGCTGTGAGTCACCTTTGTCTACCATTTAAGTAAATATTTCTGAACTTACTCTAACTCTAAACATCAATTTTACTTTAATTTTTTATTTTGTTATGTATTGACTTGATTTATACTCCCACATTATTAAATAAATAATTTATTTTAAAAATGCATCCAATATATAAAAGTTAAAATATGTTTAAAATGAGCAAGAAAACCAAAGTGAATGGAAAATAAGATGTAAGGATAGTGGAGTATTCCAAGTATTAGCAAGTCCACATGCTTTAATTCAAGTCTTGCTTCAATCTTGGTGGATCATATTACTTCCAGATAGGATGTCTATTGATTGACTTTACTGTTAATTTTATTTTTTTTGGGGGGGGTACTGGGGATTGAATTTAGAGGCACTCGACTACTGAGCCATATCCCAGCCCTATTTTGTATTTTATTTAGAGATAGGGTCTCACTGAGTTGCTTAGTTCCTCATTTTTGCTGAGGTTGGCTTTGAACTCATGATCCTCCTGCCTCAGCCTCCTGAGCCATTTGTATTACAGGCATGCACCACTGTGCTCGGCTTTACTGTTAATTTCTAAGAATATTTCTGCTTTCCTTATGCTCTTTATCTGACCATATCTATCCAGAGGCATCAAGATTCAGGATTTCTTGTTATTTTTTCTTTTACAAGTAAGATTGGTACAGGGATCAGGTTTCATATACTGCTATTTCCTCTTATTCAATGGGGATATATGTTCCAAGACTCCCAGTGAAATCTTGAAATTCAGGTAGTACCAAACCTGACATATACTATGTCTTTTTCCCTATATGTCTTGTAATGCTGCCACTTAGTACCAGTGTTAATTTGTTCCTTCATGTTTTAAACCCCTGTGCCTCCTTTCCATTATTACTCTTATGTTTTGGTGCCATTATTAAGTGAAATTAGAATTACTCAAGTACTTCCAAATGTGACAGTAAATCTGAACATGACAGTTACTAAGTGACTAAGAGGTAGGTCACATACACATCATGAATACACTGGACAAAGGTATGATTCATGTTCTGGGCATGATGGAGCATAATGTTGAGAGACTAAATCCTGTTACTCAGAATGGCATGCAATTTGGATTGTTTTGTTCTGAAATTTTCTATTTTATATATTTTTGGGTTGCCATTTATTGAAATATTGGAAGACAAAATCATAGATAAAAGGGGACTACCATATTTCATTTGTTCATCTATCAGATCCACACATATTTGGCAATTTTTATGTGCAAGTTACTAAGACACAATTTGAGCTGAAGGGTTTTAGATTCAGATAGGCCTACATTTCAAATACTGATCCCATCACCTTTTATTGGGTGAACTAAAAAAAATAATAATGTATTCTTTCTGGATGCTAGATTTTGGTTCCATAGTAGAGGGCAATAATTACATGGCTGTTGAATTGATATCATATATTTTAAAATATTCAGCAAAGTGTGAGACACATATTTAGTGCTCTATAAATTTGTGTATTCATGCTAGGCATTTGGCAAGAATCAAAAAAGAATAAAAATGAGCTTTGCGCTACCTTCACTATTGTCTATTTAAGTGTCAAATTCACCTCTGTAGGAGTAACTATGAATTCAGAATAGAGGCAGATCTCTACAGATAGGATCAGATCTCTGATCAGCAGATCTTAAAGAAGCTGAACCTTGAGCTAGAACCTTGTAGAATCTGGGATAGCAGGAGAGTAAAGAGGAACCTGGTTTGGAGGGAAATTGTTTGGATGAAATGTGTGGTTCTTAGAGATGGTGATACGTGAGGCATGATTTGGGTTGGTGAGAACATTCATTCACTTCGTGCCCTGAAACACTCGTGAATGGAAGTAATGGTTAGAACGCCATGATTAGGACAATGAGGAAGAGCAGGTAGGTTTATAGCAAGCAAGGGGACTATGTAATACAATTACCCCTATTGGGAACCCAAAATCTAAAAACCTAATTGTATTTGATGCCCTAAAATGACTGTCAGGTAGAGTTAGAGTTCAAGTGCCTTAAAGTAGTTCATTTCCATTTGCTTTTCATAACTATAGTCAACTTGGGTTACAGGTTCTACATAGTGACTTGATGACCTGGGAAGGACCCAAATTTGCTCATCTTTGAAATGAGAAGTTTAAACAACTTCCTGCTGGTGGGAAAAAGCTACATATCATTTCCTTCTGAAAATGAGAACAAAGGTCAGTTATTGCTCCCTATGGCTCCTCCACCTCTACTTGCCTTTTGGATGTCTCTAGTTAAACTTCCAGATGTCTGCAAGAAATTCTCTGCACACTGAATCATTAAAAAAAAAAAAAAGGCTTTCTTCTCCTTCTTCTTCTTCTTTTTTGAAAGGAGTGGCCTAGGTGTTGATTGGACTGAAATTCCACAGAACTAAAAACGAAACCAACCTCTTCCCCAGCCCCCCCAAAACAAAAACCTTCCATATGCATCTCTCTGTGAAGTCACTTTACTACTTCCTGATCCTCCTGATTTTAAATCCAACAGTTACATTTTTAAAGAGACACTGTACTTTGGAATATGAACGTGTGAAATCTGAATACAAAATATAATGGAGCAGTATAAGCCAAGTCATGCAATAGGAATTTTTTTTTTTTTTTAATTTACAGCAGGCAGACAATTCTGCCTTCTGAACTCTATTTCTAGCCCTGTTGCTCTTATTTGATGGGTTTAATAATGAGGCTAACAACTCGTAAATGGCTTAGTTTACTCACTTTTGGAAGACACCCCTTATTTTCTGTTTTGCAGCATCCTTTCTCTGAGAAGCTCCAGATATTTAAACCCAATGCAGAACAACATATATTTTTTCCCCATTACCAGTGTGACATGATGAAAGGCAAAGAACTATTGTATACCTTTCTTTAATACGAGAAATGCCCTTTTGTGATTCACTCTCAACACACAATGCATGAGTCCTACAGTTACGGTGGTTGTACCCTTTTTTAAGCTCCCAATTCTGGGGATGATGCAGAATTCCTGGCACTAAACAGAGGAGACTGAAAAAACATCCTTCTCCCCTGTCGATTCTTCCTTTTAGGATTTCTACTTTAGTATATCCCCAATTATGTTATCAATAATATCTCATTTGTATCTTTAAAGTAGCTCTCTATATCTGCTGGTCTTTACCTTCTTTGAAAGCCTCTCATTAGAATACTCCAAATAATCTAATGTTCCTCTACTTCCTCCACTCTCTTGCCTTCCTGACATTCTAAAGTTATTTTCATCTTCATTGTTTCTCTGTGGTGTCACCCCTCGCTCTAGATCACACTTAGGTTTGCTCCCTCTCATCATCACAAACATTCCTAAACTTATACTTCTTCCAGAAAACCTTATCTGGTAAAATTCAAGAATAGTCAAGCAAATTTTTGACATTTATACATATACATATATATTTCTAAAAATGTATTCAGTCACTTTGATTTAAAGCAATCTAGATCATTATTTCATTAGGTTTTTAAACAGCATCTGGAGTATTTCTGCTTTGTTGTGATCTGTCTTATAACTTCATTGGGAGAACAAAATGTGCCAAATTCACTTGGAGACAGCCTTATGGAGTACTCTGAAAATTTGTTACTTTTTCATCTCACAAACATTTATTAAGCACTTCCTGTGTTATAGGCACTGGACCAGGTTCTAGCATTAAAGGTCTGGACCCCATTTATCCACTCTGTAAAAATCAGGGAAAGCAGTAGAGTTGTTTCAATAGAAGTGGGTGTAATATGCCATCATGATCAAAACTTGGAAAACAAAAGTGAGGTCTACCAGGCCATAGCCCTGTTTGAAAATGTGGACAGCCAGTTTCTCTAAGACCTTTTAACTTGATGAAAACTGTATTAAACTCAGGGTCAAGCAGATTCAACCCAGAAATAATAACCAGTGAATAATAATCAGAGTCTGATTGACTTCTACTCCCATACTGCTTAATAATACTTTTAAAATAGTTATTGTAGATGCCTTGACTATGGTGATTCATTTTCATTTAATGAATTTTAGGGACTAAAACCATATCCACTTTCTTGCTTTTTTCTTTGTTTGGATCTAGTTTATTGGAACAACACTAACAAGCAGCTCTTTCCTAAATTTCTTGAGGTATATAAGGAGCAGGGGGACTCATATCTAAGTTTACTTTGCCAATGTTTTTTCACACAGGTTTGCACATGCACGTGCCACCTTAAGATTCTTTACTGGAAAGCAAGGGGGAAACTTGAGCATAGGTTAAAGTCCACATAACTGAGACCTGAGCTCTGCGGCTTTGACTGTACTGGCCAGTGCTGAGTATACTGCTGGGATTCCACAAATAAATAATAAAAATAATAATGATTTTTAAAGCATTTGGAAATGCTGAGTTGAAAGGTGTGGTGTAAGTGCAATGTTTTATTGTGGAAGTGATATCTCTTGCATTATCTGCTTCTAATGGAGGGCGACAGTAATGGAGAAGAAGGCACTTATGCCTCCAGCCTGGGTCCCTGAAGGCGGGTGGGGCTCAGGCAGGCACTGTAGTAACACTTTACTGTACATGCAATTGCTTCCTTCCAATCTTGCAGAAGGTGTGAGAAAAGCCAGGCTGCTTCCTGTTCCTCTAAGCCTTAGAAGTCATCATTGTTTCTTACTGATGGAGGAAATGACTGAAAAAAATCACACTGGAAAAATACTGTAGTCTTGAAACTATTAATTTAGGTTTTAATTTGGGGCTCAAATAAATACACATTTGGCAAGGGGCACATCAGCAGATTGAGTGTGAAACTATCCCTGGTATGTGATATGGGCTGAATTATGTCCCCCTTAATTCACATAACGAAACCCTAACTCCCAGTACCTGAGACTGTGACTGTATTTGGCAATAGGGCCAGTAAAAAGTCATTGAGTTAGAATTGGGCTGCTAAGGCAGGCCTTAATCAAATCTTATTTGTGTCTTTAAAGGAAGAGACAATTTGAACACATAGACACCAGGGACACCCAAACAAAAGAATGACTACATGCAGACAAAGCAACAAGATGGACATCTACAAGCCAAACAGAGAATCCTCTGGAACCAACTCTGTCCACACCTTGATCTTGAATTTCCAGCCTCCAGAACTGTGAGAAAAGAAATTTCTGTTGTTGAAGCCACATGGCCTGTAGCATTTTGTTTTGGCAGCCCTATGGCATCCAATTTGGGATAATTGAGACTTCAGATTCACACTGAGCCCTATAGTACAATATAGAACAAGGTAAATATTTTTATTCTGATAGTCTGAATGCTTTCTCAACTAAGTCCATAAGTTTAATTATAAAATGAACATAACCTGTATCAAATTATGAATATGTTAACATATTGAATGGGGACAAGAAAAATAAGCACCAGATTTAGGCTTCATAGGGACTTGAAGGTAGAATAAAAAAATCTGGTTTCCTTGACCACATTGTCATAATATGCATATATAACAGTTTATTGAATCCAGGCTGTGTAGACAACCAGAAGAACGCTGGCTCCATACTGTCACAATGCATGCCCACAACAAAGACTCGGGGAAACAGCCCCTTTCATTCGATCTCTCTAAGATTTACCAACATGAGAGCTGAAAACCTTACCTCTGTCTGAAGTATATCTATGTATCCATGCATAAGTTATTAACTGGGCTCCCTGGGCTCTGCTGCTGAAAATATTAATATATTCAAATCTCATTCTAGCTACTGCAAAAAACAGTACATCAGATAAATGCATTAATATCTTCCTTAGACAAAAGAATCTGGCATCATTTTTAAAATATTTTTTTTTCTTGTTCCTTTGACTCTTGCTGAAATATAGGTGATATATGGCCTAATAAGGTAAAGTGGCCATCAGGTGCCAAAGTGCTGGGTTGACGGTATCTATAAAACTCTGTTTATTGTACTTGAAATACAACTCTCTTTTATGTGAATTATGTGCTGAATACTGTTCATATCACCCAATGGCAGAAATGTTTTCTTTTTATTTTCTTAGACATGTTATCTGGTAGAAATGAGATGGCCTATATCCAGGTGGCCGTCTAATTGCAGATAATGTGACCTCTATCATGTCAATGTCCTCTGCTTTATGAACTGTCTTTTCTGGATACAAGTGCAGTCTCTGTGAGGCTGGGAGGCAAAGCTCTGCTGACGAACAGTCAGCCAAGTGAAAAGATAGGATAACTTAAGGCAGTAAGGAGAGGAGAGAATCCTGGGGAGTTATCTTTTAGATCACCACTCTGCATTTTTTGGATCCCAAGTTGGGATATATATAATGACCAGCCTCTACCCTATCCAGCTTTGCCTTTTTGCTATTGGCTGCACTTAAGGCCTTTTATCAATGACAACAAACAAAGTGGGTGGTCTTCTACCTCTTTCTAGCTGTAGAAAAAAAAATAGTGACATAATTTTTCACAGCCTGAAATAATTGTGGAAGTACAGATACTGGTTAGGCTCACTATGAATTATTAGTGGAAAAGTGGGTCTCAGAAGTACGTTACATGTGAAATATTTTTCGTCACTTGAACATGTGCCGTCCAGAGCTGGCCCTGTTCTAGCCGTCACAGGGAACAAACATTTCACATTCACAGATGCTCCCAATTTGGTGCGGTTTGGAGTGTAATTTAGATCAAACGTCTCCATGTAAATGAGTCAGGGTTTCTTAATTAGGTGCCTCTAAAGCAAAACCTTGGACCACATCAGTAGGTGTGGGTGTGGTACCCACAATACTGGAATCTTTCCTGTAGACCATGCTCTTAGTATCATTTGAATAGAGCTGGGGTTTTTTTTTTGGTTGTTTTTTTTTCAGGCAGAGTAATAAATCTGCAGATGGCATAGACAGAAAGACGCTACTTCAGAAGAGCTGTCTAAAAACACTGCCTCTTTGGCAAATGCCTTAAAGTAGGTCATTCTGCTGTGATTTAGCTTTTTCTTTAGATTTGATTGCCAGCTTTTTGTTCCCATTACAAGTAGGGTGCATTCCAGTCCACAGACTTGTTCTTAATTTTTCCAACTGGTATTTGTTTACTAGGATTTGCAGATCTTCCTATGAAAATGGCCAATATCCTGTCACAGTGCTAATCATGCACTTGACCACAAAGCGAAATGGATCCCGGTGATAATCTGGCAATGCTGAAATATTAAATGCCTTAAACACCCAGTCTTCCCACAGAAAAACTGCATTGATTTATATGGGTAGGTTTGTTGAAATAATTGTGCCATCTTTTATACATGTGAAAAGAAGAGGTGACAGGATGTAAATGGAAAACTTTTACAAGCCATATAGCTGTTTGTATAGAAATTCAGGTTATCTGCTTTTATACTTGTCATTGTTTGTGTTTTTTATAGGGGGAAAAATCATTGGGGCCCATTTCCCTATCGAGGCTTCAGGATTTACATGCAGAACCCCCTCCAGCATTAATGAGTTACCTGAATAAATTCCCTGGCAATCGATGGGAACATAGACCTTGTTTTGTTCTATTAATTATTCCTCACAGAACCTTGACACTGACATTAAATGAGGCCTTAAAAAATCTTGATGAAGGTCTTAAGGTATCTTTTACTGTTCAAATATTAGCATTGCAAAAACTCTGTCTAAGGCATTATTCATTTTGTTGAACCACAGGGAAGGAGGGGTTGAGATAAGGAAACAAGAACATGGGGCACAGGGAGTGAACTTTCTGGTTTTAACTATTTATTGCCTAGATGATAGTCTTTCTAGGAATAAGTTATAATCCTCAAATATGACAGTGATGAAAATAAATGTTAAAATCATAATAGGTTAAAAGAACTGAGTATGTTGTCTTGAACATCCTGTCTTTTCCACAGGCCCAGTTTTGTCTTGAAAAATTGTTGATGTTTTCAGGTGAAATCCCAAACATCAGTTAGAAGCACACAACGTGCATTTGGAGAGGAGTAGAGAAGATTGGCCAGGTTCTTTGCAAGACTGGTTTGTCTGACTGTACCTAAGGAGCAGACTGGGAAAATGTGTTTTTGTGCAGCATTTCCCCTTGCTCCCACTGAAACTTCTTTTACTTAGAAGGGATATAGAAGGTTGTGATTAAGCAAATGTTCTGGTTAAAAACACTTATTATCATATGTGGATTAGCAGTAATCAAACAACACAATTAATATTAAAATTACAACGGACACCAAATTATCATCCTTTGATAATTCACAAGAAACTTTTGAATCTTGAAGCTCTCATTAGGAACTTGAGTTATCTCTGTGCTAGAGTGTGGTTATTAGATAAATGGATGGTTATTAGAAATTTCTGACTGGTGAAATGGCAGCTAATTGAAATTTGTTTGGATCCTTTTGGAGCGGAAGTTATTTATTGAATAATACTATTTGATGATACTTTTCACATTTTCATAATGCTGATGATTCTGATTTATCTGTTTACTTTCTAATTTTCCCCCTTTGTTATTGAGTGATTCTTGCTGTGTTTGTCCCCCAAGTTGTGTTTAATACCATTATTCTCTTCAGATTTTGCACTCTCTCAATGAATGCATCCAGTGTCATGGTTTGAATATTTATTTTAAAAAGCTAATTCTCAAATCTGTGTTTCCTCCTCTAATATCATACCTTCATTTATCCATTTGCTAAAATGGTTTGTTAAGTGCCTGGTATTGCTCTAATCTCTATTAGTTTCTTAGGACACTGTGAAGTGGGAAGAAATTATTCCTTCAAGGAGTTAATGTAACTTACATAAGAGGAAGGATTCATTATGACTTCATGCCAGTTAGAGTATGTGGCCTATGGTTGAGTAGGCTTGTGAGGGAGGTATAGCAAAACAACTCAGGTTGTTGGTGTTTTACAGTTAATAATAGACTTTGATTCATATGTAAGACTGAATTTTCTAAAAGTCTTTGAGATACAAGTATTATAATGTCTTTAAACATAAATGAGGTGGGAAATTCTTCCAGAAGCTGTCTTATCCAAGGTGACATGGTTAAAGAGTCATAAATCCAGAATGTAAGTTCAAGATTTCTGGTTCTGAATCCAGCATGCTCTATGTCCTGGATTAAGTGCAAGATCAAGTGTTTGGGCTGTACTCTTCTTGGATTTGCAATTATGTTAAGCTGTGATAACATTATAGACATCTTGTGGTATCTTAGGTTTCTAGAACATCTCTGAGATAGCAAAATCTCTAGAAACTTAAGTTTGTTATAGAAAGTAACATAGTATTTGCATAGAACCTATGAACATCCTTCTGTACACTTGACATTATCTCTTATTACTTATAATACTTAATGTATATCATTTGGAGATAATAACAGGAGAAGAAATGTCTGTTCATGTTCAACATAGACATGACTTAAAAAATATATGTTTAGTTTGTGGTTGGTTGAATCCTTAGACACAGAACACACAGATTTGCAGGGCAGACTACATACTCTTTCACTTCCTTTATGTTTTCATTTTATTTATGCCATTAGATTTTATAGACAAGCACATGTGCATGCACATGCACACACACAAAAATTTATAGAAAGATGAGTAAAGTTTGATTTTCATCTACAGATGAGAAGACAGTGGCTGGGAAGAGAAACAGCAGGCTTAAAACACTGTAGAAGCTTATGCCCAGGCTGAGGCTGTGCTGAGTCTCTCAAACTATCAGAGGCAAGTGCACAAAGTACTTTGCACTCACAAACAAATCTTTCTGATTAGACTGATTACTGAATAATTGAAATACTTTTCAAACTCATTTTCCTGTGTCTACCTTTGTTCTTCTAGAATGTATTCTCAACACAGAAATACTAAGATCCTTTTAAATCTGAAGTTAGTTCATGTCATTCCTGGTCAAAACCCTGATACTGGTACTCCCTTTCTTTTAAACTCAGAGGCAACTACTGAGTCCTCCCAGTGTCCCCCAAACCCTGTTATCAGCACGAGGCTCCTTTCCACCTCTCTCTGCTCTCCTTGGCTCCCACCACCCTGGCCTCCTTACTTTGCTGGATCTCCCACATCAAGGCCCAGATATATGCACTGCCTGGATCACACTGGCTCTAGGTTCTCTTCACCAACATCCTCCCTTACCTGAGCTTGTGTGTCAAATCTTACCTTAATGAAGTCTACTGCAATGAAGTCTACTACAATCTGCCCTCATAGCACTTTCAATATTCTTTCTGCTCTGCTTTACTAGTTCCTTAGCAAATTGCCAATATGTCATGGCATTTTCTTATTTATAATGTTGACATGTTTCAGTTTTATATTATAGATTTTATATATTATGTAACCT